TTTCGTTTTTTTCTTGGAAGCCCGCAGCCTGCCAATAAAACAACGCAACGAGGGGTCCAGGCAGAACCCTTGCACTTGAGCCTTCCCCACTGGCACACAGCAACCAAGGTCTCCTAAAGCTGGTTTGTTTGAGTGCCACTACGGACGCAATCCCCATGGCGCATCGCATATTACAAGGCACTTAAACGCATTTGAAGCGTACATGTCTAAGTACGAGTAAGAAGGTACTCCCCTTGGCACATCACATACCAGTTGGGACCTTGATGTTGCTTGACTCTGCATGGTTGCACGCCAATAAGAGGGCAATCCCAATGGCACATCGCATGCTCAACAACACTGAAACAATTCTTGCGAAAACAAGTTCATGCTCCAGTAAGAAGGCAACCACCACGGCCTGCATACCCAAGGCAACCAAAGACATCTCGAAAACATCTTTTAGAAGCACCAAAAAAAAGAAAAAACACCTGGCACATTGCAGAATCAACCGCAATCATGCACGTTTTAAACTTATATGTTGGAGCACTGCTAAGAAGGCAAGACTCACGACGCATTCTGATCAAGTGCAATTCAATGCATTCATTTTGACCCTTTCAAAAACCCGTATGGCCCAGCAGCTAAAGACCTTAAAAAGGCGGGAATGTCCGGCAAGTTTGCCCAGGGAAACACAAGTCAAAAAACGAGTCTACAACGAGTCCGAAAAGGAATAAAACGTTCAGCGTCAACAAAACCCCAGCTTCAACAACGCAAGCTGTTCTAGGAATCTTGTTGAGGATGATTGATTTCCAGGCGTGCGCCCATGCGATTGGCCTACTCAAAATGCCTCAACATCACCAACGCAACCTGCTCCGCAAAACTGATTGAGGGATGCGCGCCGATGCGCTCGGCCTACCCAAAAACCGATGAAATCAGGGAACCCCGTTCAGCATGTTTTTCGTCAGTATCCATGTAATAAGACTGCCAAAACGACCGCATGTTCACGGCGGCAGTTGTCTGTTGAAAGCATGCTGAACCTGGCACACCGAGGTGGAGCGACCCTACCAGATGCATTTCCCGTGGCTATTCCACGAAAAACATGCGGCCGAAATCAAATGCAACGACTTTCACACGTGGGACTACTACTGCTGCTGCTGCTGCTACTACTCATCAACACCGACCCAATCACCCACCCGCGCAACGAGCCAACCAACCAATCAAGCACCAAGCACCAACCATCTTGTTGAAGTCAAGAGGCTCTTTGCCTTCCGGCTGTTTCCATGGGCCATCTGAGCAGGCTGCGACGCATCTTGGCCTCCGTGTTTGAGCAGCAGCTGGGACCCCCCGGGGTGCATGGAGTGGAAGGCGGTGACATCGTAGACGTAGGAGTCGATGATGACCCAGAGACTGTCTTCACCTTACAAACCCGCTGGTCACGAAGAAAAAGACTTGACTTGGCTGCTTGATTTTGCAGCCAAACCCCATGGAAACCAAAAAACTGGCACCATTGGACTGAGGCGCTGCTGTGTCCAGCTACCTCTCTCGCGGTAAAGCTGGGCATGGCGAGACCTACTCCATTGGCAGGCTGCAAAAAAAGGAGGCCTGAGCTTTGGCTAAACATTTCGATCATGATGCTGAGTGAGGCCAAACGAAACTAAGCAAAGTGAAGGGCTGCGGCCCGGCTCAGTCAACATTTGACTCGAAGTACAAGTTCATGTTGTGAACAAGGCCACAAACAGGTGCATACTCAACTTCAAACTGACTGCACTAGGCTTGAGCCAAAACAGTGCCAAAGCGCATCACGCGAGCCGGGGGGACTCTGATGGACAAAGCGCGCAGGCAGTTACTGCTTCATCCTGCTTCATTCCGCGGCGGGTTTTGTCAATCGGGTAGTTTTCTGGAGACAAACTGAGCGCCCAACACCTGTTGACGTTTGGTTCTACTAACATGGTTGCAATGGTTTATGTATAGGCCAGGGTTTTGGTCGCTGGTCGGTTACTCTCCTCTTAGAGGGCACTGCCTTTCCAGGTTTTGGCCGCCGCTCTGGGGGTTCCCCTTCTCTTTGCCGTAAATACTTTGCACACAACCAACTATACACCCCAAAACCACTGGCCTCATTGTTTTACCATGATCAAAGTCGCACCCTAAGTGGTGGGTTGAAGGGGAACAACCCCGTTTCCTGACTTTCCCCAGAACCAAGTTAGAGGGTTCCCTTGTTCCCTTTGCAACATTTGAAGCATATCGAGTTCTTGCAGCTAGGCTGACCCTTGATTTTACCTTTCGGTTGGCTTCAAAACCTAGCCTTCCAATTGGTGAAAGTGACCGAGCCTATTCAAGCCTCGAACAAGCCCGCCATCACACGCCCACGTAGCGGAAGCAATCACATCGTTGGAAAAGGAGCCACGGAAAGTGTTTCAAGCTAGCAATTACACTACGGCTGGAGGGTTGCAGTTGTTTGCCTTCTGGATGGCTTTCAGGTTCCCCTCCATTGATGGTTGGAATTGGTGGTTGCTTCAAGGAGCACCGATAGGAAACCAACCACCTTGGAAGTGAATCGACACAGCTCCAATCTGTGAGCATCATCAAAAAGCCAACTTAAATTGATCTGTCCCAAGCGATGTTTGAGACTGGAAAAAGGATCTTTGGGAATAGATCCGGAACTCCTTCGATTTATATTTTCAGCGGGGTACTGCGACAGGACACTCCTGAATATCAACATGGACACCCCATGAATGTGTCTGCTTTTCGTCTGTTTTTCCTCGAAATCAAAGGGAAACCACCACATTCTGGGATTCTGCAGACACCCATTTGTAGTGGAATTGGAAAGGACTTTTTTTGGGTCCAATCAAGAGACAACGTTACTTGCCTTGGCCATTTCCGTGGCACTGGATGGAATCAACCCCTGAGCGGAAGAGGTGGCTTTGTCTCACAAGTCTTCTGAAACTCCTTCACATGCCTCAATTTGCTTAAGTCACCTGAACCAATGAAAGTATGCCCAGTAGTGATAGGTTCCCTTTAACAACAACAAAATAAAACTTATTCTGAAGCAAATGGAAGCATTCGTAGTTGGTCTTCATGGTTGTCTCACAAGCTTTGCAACTCAAAGGCCCTAAGTTCGCGAAACATGCATGTGGAATCCGAGTGCCCTGGCCTTGGCAACTGGATATGCCCAAGACTTCTGGAATCCGCCGCTCAGGTTGGAGAGGAAGCCGATGGCGAAGACCAAGACGTTGAGGACGCCAAACCTGAGACTCGCATCGATTAGCCGAAAGCTTAGGTAAGAGAACCGGAACATCATGGACCATCTGTCTCCAATTGAACCAAGGACAAATCCGCTTGACAGCGACCTCATGCGTTCCATGTGGGGGGGGGCATGATGGCATAAGCCCTTATAGGGCTGGAATTCGTCCATTAAACCCTCGCCATTTGAAACTGGCGGTGTGCCTGTGTGCGTGTGCGTGTGCGTGCGCGTGTGCGTGTGCGTGTGCGTGTGGGTGTGGGTGTGGGTGTGGGTATGTGTATGTGTGGGTGTGGGTGTGGGTGTGTGTGTGTGTGTGCGTACGTGCGTGTGTGCGTGTGGGCGTGGGTGCGTGTGTGCGTGTGGGCGTGTGGGCGTGTGCGCGTGTGCGCGCGTGTGCGCGTGCGCGTGTGCGCGCGTGTGCGCGTGTGCGCGTGCGGGCGCGCGGGCGCGCGTGTGCGCGCGTGCGGGTGCGGGTGCGGTGCGGGTGCGGGCGCGAGCGCGGGTGCGGGTGCGGGTGCGTGCGTGTGTCTGTGTGCGTGTGTCTGTGTGTGTGTGTCTGTGTGTGTCTGTGTGTGTGTGTGTGTCTGCGTGTGTCTCTGTGTGTCTGTGTGTGTGTGTCTCTGTGTGTGTGTGTGTGTCTGTGTCTGTGTTTGTGTGTGTGTGTGCGCATGACTGTGGTTGTGTGCTTGTGTGCGTGTGTGCTTGTGTGCTTGTGTGCTTGTGTGCTTGTGTGCCTGCGTGCCTGCCTGCCTGCCTGCCTGCCTGCCTGCCTGCCTGCCTGCCTGCCTGCCTGCCTGCCTGCCTGCCTGCCTGCCTGCCTGCCTGCCTGCATGATGAATGGAATGTACTGCAATGTACTGTACTGAAATAGATTGTACTGTGCTGTGTGTGCTACATTGTATTGTATGTGTTCTTTGGCATGGATTCATGCATGTCATGCATGCGTGTATGTGTATTTTATATGTATATATGTATACATATATAAGTATGTTTGAAAAGAAAGGCAACCACATGCCATTGTTCTGTCCGTGTCCCTGTCATTGCTAAGTAACCAACGAGGTTCCAATTTCGAGACGCCCTTGCACTGAAATGTATGTGTATATATACATATAGACATATTCACATATTCTACGTTGGTTGCCTTACTTTCAGCAAGCAAGCAAAGATACCGCGTATCCTGTTTCTGCCGCAGGCTCACGCATCCCTTCCTATGCTAAAGATGGATCAAAAAGGGGAAACGAAAAGGTCCGAAAGGTCGGTTTTGGGCGAGTGAATATTTCCTCCGGGCGGCATCAAAGTTGTGAGCTGCTGCTCGCCAAGCCCACACTGACGGAAGCAGCGCTTCGTACCCTGGAACCAGGACATGCTCTCCTCGCGCGAGGTGGGAGGCAGAGGTGCAGGGGTATTGCTTTGAGGGTACTCTGTTGAACTTGCTTTTATAGGAAACTAAAGGACACACACACATCACTATCTTTGGTGTCCCCTATATAAAGTCAAATTCTGGGGAGAGGCAAGCCAGTTAGAATCAATGGGGATCTTGAAACCATGTGCCACCTCAGGGAGTGATAGCTCCGCCAGGTCACAAACCATCTAAGATGCTCGTCAAACAAATCAGGTTCCAAAGCTTCCCTCCAAATAACCCGGATTGACCTAGAGGGAAGCGCGCAAGGAACCGCTGTCCAAGAAATGTCGGTTTTCGCCTAGGACCCACACCAAATATACAGTAACATCTTTAGGGTCCAAGGCATTCATTCCTTTGACGTCCGCAACGCGTGTTTCCGCGAGGTCTCCTCTGGCAAGGCCACCTCTGCGGCCTGCACGAAGCAGAGCTACTGCCCCGAAAATGCCCAAGCACAAAAACGAAGCAACAAGCAAAGAAGGGAGGTCGCTCATAAACAAATATTCACAGAATATAATATATATATATATATAGGTATGCCTTTTTCGAGGGCACCACAAAAAGTGCAAATATCCGGCAGCAACATGAGTCATGAGCTCAGGTGCCCGGCTCATTCAAGAGCCATCAACATGGGCCTGCCCAGCAACTTCGTTGCTGTCCATTTGCCAAGGCCAAACAAATGCAACACGTTGACCTCAATACACAACCGATTTGCCACTTGAAGCAAATCCAAACGCTGGATCACCTGAGAATGACTTGACACGTTTCCGACAGCACCACCGTCCCTCAAATGGGTGGCCATATGGCGCCAATCTGGAGGACCCTGCTAGTCAGAGACACCCACAAAAATTATAAACTCCTTTCTGAAACGGGAACCACACCTGATTAGTATGGTCCTCGAAGCTAACATTAAGCCCATTGGCAGCCTTGGCTTGTCCCAGAACCAAAAGGGGGAGCAACATCCACCCGCGTCTTGCCTTTGTTTCGCGGAATCTCAACTCGCTATGTCACTAATGTTGACTTCGGGTTACACTCAGGAAGCTCTCCCTTCGTGTCAATGTTCACCGGGAATCTTCATAGGTTCAAACTTCAAACGTCTCCCAGCCATGAGCCAAGAGGTTAAAGCAACCAAACCACCGGCCAACTTCGTTTGCAACACCCAGAACACTTCAAATGGAAATTTTAAGGGGCCTGAAAGCGGGAAGCGCCCTGTGATTAGCTTTTGTCGAACGGCCGCTAGGAGGAACTCCTGTGATTGGATTTTTGTGGAACGGCCGCTAGGAGGAACTCCTGTGATTTGGTTAAATATGCCCAATTCGCACCAACAGAACAAGTGCAGGGCGCCTTGTCAGTGCCGCCCTCTTCGTCTGCTGTGTGGGCGTTGGCGCGTTTAGCCCACTCCTTCCTGCAAAAATGGGCTCAGAAATCCCCGTTCCCAGCTTCCTGTTCAAATAATATCTTTCAAGATTCGCCAAACGTTCTGTTTTTGGAGGGTGCGCAGGAAAGCCACCTCAGCTTTTGCGCTAACCAACCAAAAACACGTTGTTTGATACGTTCGGGGAATTTGCTAAATGAGCTGTCCAAAGCTTTTCTGCCCAGGCGAGGGAGCAAATAGAGGCTGCAGGCTAGAGTTCCATAAGGGTAGGGCTCGTGGGGGATAGCACCTGGGGGCATCTCTTTTCTGGGCAACATCTCGGTCACTCAAACGAGGACCCTTCAACGTGGCCGAGGTTGCTTTCCTTTCTGACTTGGGCAAATGTTTTTGACCTGAAATGCAAAGGAATTTGAAAGGTGACACACCAGTAACATTGACCCTGAACAAAAACCCTAGACCAGGGGTGAGTCCTTCAAAGGAACCGGATTCATACATGGGATTGCTGAGTTGACCCCGCAAGCTCCGAGAGGTGTCTGTTAGGTGTCCCAAAACGAGGAACAAGTTGTTTGAATGATGTTTGAAGGTAAACCAAAAAGCAACTAAACAATTTGTGCATTCTGATATTCTATGAAGCCTGTTGGCTAGTTTCAATATGTTGCAAGGTACTGGAACCTGCAGGTGTTTTTCAAGGGATCTTTGTGAGGGGAGCATGAATCCCACCACGGGTGGACGCCACGGACATGCGACTTGTAGAGTTGCGATGCTTTGCAGCACCGAACTCTACTTGGGTGTTCGGCCAAGTTTGCAAGTTACCAGCAACCTGGGTGATAACCCACTTATAGGCCTCCATACAGGTGGAGTTAAGCCTGCTTTTAGTGGGTTAATCAGGGTGGCTAGGAGGCAAACATCCCATGTCACTAGACAAGGGAATGACAACCCGACTGCAGCTCCTCCCAAACTTTCCGAGCAGAACTAGGGTTGCTTACCCTTGGAAGGCATGCCGGAAACAAATGGAACATCAAAAAATCATCCAACAACAACGGAGCTCAACCCCGGAAGACCTTTGGGGTTGACTCGGGTTGACCATTTACCAACTCACCCTGTGACATTGACGTCCTCTGCTTCGCCACCAGCTGTCTTCGCTCCTCAACCAGCGCCTCCATGGTGGCCTGGAGTGCGCAAGCTTTGAAGCCAGGCCCAAGCTCCAGCACCACCATAAACATGACCGACACATAGCATGCATGCCAGCGCCTTCAAGCCAACCTAGTAACATATGCGAGCAAATATCGATATACTGCGCAAATCTATGCTCCACTCTGATGCTACGCCTTCCATGATCTAGGAGACGTGCTATGCGAGTGCCAGAGATTCCGCTGAAAGTCATGTTGAGGAGATTCTTGCACGCTGTCGTTGTTGATAAGCGCGCTATTGTTGTCGGGAGAGTTCTATTAGTTGCTTTGGGTCATCAGGTTTGATACGCAGAACATCCAGAAATCCAACTGTCTATGAATC